ATCTGCAGCTCGAGCTAGTTGCAAATCAAGAATTGTGGTTGGAACGTATGTAATGCAGAGCAGTTTTTAGCATTTAGTCTATTTTTAGTTACACTTTTTATGAGAATAATCACAATGCCGCAGCGTTGAAATTTCAGTCGCAGAGTGGCATCCAGATTTACATTCCAAAGTAGAACTTATCCTGCATTAATCTTTGATTTTCGCTAAATTGACATACCTTGCTCGCTTCTCACAGAACTCTTTGGTCGAAGCGCAGATGATTCACTTTTGCCCGTTTCTTTGCTTTCTGTTCAGGTGGTAATGATGTTCCATCCAGCGTTGCCGAACGAAAGCGAAAATAATGTCCATCTGAAAAGAAGTGACTGCACAAGAAAGATGGATTGAGAAGCCAAGCTATACAATACCTGTGCTCATCAAAGAAATGGGCATGACGTTCAATTCAGCGCATTTTCGGAGGAAATCGACTCCACTTCCATGCATCTTGGGACTGAAAAGATCTGTAATGTCATAGATGTCTATTCAGTATTCATCTTGGTAGCAGTCTGAGGTGGGAGGGCGGTTAAGGGAGGGGTTGGAGCAAGGAAATGTCGCCGGGAGTTGTCGACATAGAAAGACGTTGTCAGTGATCTTTGCTGTTTATTTTTGCCAAAAAAATCTAAAGCAATTGCTATGGGTAGGATGCGGTAACATGTCTAGGTTTCTAAAGATTTGTCGAAGAAAACGCCGCGCGCGATTTGTTTTTCTTACATTTCCTCCTGTGGAAAAGCACATCTTTCATAGATGAGCTTTGATACGATTGGATCTGATAATGTTCATATCGATGTATCAGAGAACAGGATAAATCAAAGCTTGCTAAGATTCTCACAATGCAATCGCTAACTGTATCATTGTAAAAAGACTAAACGGGGTTGAACAAAGCTACCCACCTTGGTGGTGTTCGTGCTTCGACAGAAGGCAGCGATGGGCAACACATTTGCTTGCGCAGATGATTGAACCTCAAAATATTACAGAAAAAGAATTTTTTATATCGAATATGTAGGTAATATGTCTTGGGCATATTCGTATATTCAAGACTTGCGATTCATTTGTCTGATTTAGAAATCTTTTTTT